GGAAGGTGACAGGTTCCATTTTTGATGACGTAATTGGAATTTTCAGTTGACCTAATCCTTCCAGCCGCACTATGGCCCTCGGGTCGACTCAGCCTCTAACAGAAATGAATCGAATCTTTCTGGGGGTAACAGGCACCCGGCGCGTAAGGTTGACAACCTCACCGCCATCTGTGAAAACCTCACCGCCATCTGTGAACCTATTTTGTAGGAAATATTGGAGCCTCGACGTCTCACAACCTTATGAGGCTCCACGGCTTGTTACATGGATAGATTTTACCTTTTATCAAAAAATATAAAATTCTTCCTAGCCACCACCGTGGAAACCTCAAATCCAAGAGGAAGCTTACTGCCTTCTGGAGTGTATTTCCTTACGTTCTGGCATATACGGATGTTCCTGAAGATCATGTTAATTATTCTTCAGATTAATGAGAACAATGTACTTCCCTGAAGATCGAGGCAGTACGTTCCATCAAACGTTCGCTCTCTTAGACCACACGGTGTCACATGCCAACAGTCTATCCTAAGTACTGGGGCGCTATCTTCCTCCTAAACGCAACGTCCCCCCAAGAAATATTTATTTTGTATCTTCCTATATATTGGTTTATGTAGAATGGTACTTACGAATTGACAGGCGTTCGAAATAATGTAAAAATTTTACCGTTGCATTAACATAAGAGCTGTCAACCATACATTTTTTTTTAAAAAAGAACCCAAAATTTGATCTTACAATTTGCCTCAACGTTAGAAGGCTTATATTTTGGTGTTGAAACTTCTAGGTTTCAGTTTTGTTTCTAAAAATAAAATTCTAAACTCTTCTAAGGTTAGGCTTTTGATTTTTGTATAAATAAACCGCTACGATTCTGATGGCTAACATTGCAGGCAACATGGTGGTAAAGTTTTAAAATTACTCTGTTCACCCATTAATACTTAAACACATATAAATATAACTCCGTGGCATTTAGTCCGCAAGCGAAATATACCGACCGAGCGACCGCCGCTTGTCGGCGAAGTTAGTGCCAACTTTTGCGGATAGACGGTGTCACGTGGTCAGCGCAACGGATCCCCATGGCCGTTAATTTCGGTTTTCTAGACCGGAGCCGCTATTTCCTTGAAATAGCTCCTCAATTATCCTCACGAGGCTGAGTGGACCCCATTCCAGAGTCACTACTTCTCAAAAAATCTCGTAGCGTCGGGAATCGAACCCGGGATCTCTGGATCTGTAGCCAGGAACTATGACCACTAGGCCACAGAGGCGGCCTACCTCTAAATATAATAAATTAATAAGTTACAATGGTCTTTCTATCATGGGCTCTACCACTATGTGTTTATATTTCCATCTTGATAGAGTTACTGCCGGATGGTTGTAATAATTTTGAATCAATTCCATGGCACCCAAACCGAATCTGGGGCCCATCCAATGTGTTCCTGGGGTCCTTATCCCTAGGATAAAGCGGTAGGGTCGTGATGCTGTCTGTTCACTTCCATCTGGCGTCGAGGTCAAGCAAGATGGAGCTATACTTCCAGTCCCCCATACGTCTTCATGGCATAGTGCTTAATTAATTACGCACAGGAACAACTTTACCTTTGTTACGTATTGCATGATCATTATATAGCTCGCCTCTGACCTGTCAGTAACTGTGTTAGACCTTGTGGCACTTAAAAACGTTTTCTTCTTCAATGTCACCCATGTACGCACGGTCTTGTTCCCACGGCACTCTGTGGGCGGTCAAACGGTTCGGTTTGGTGGTGGTGATACCTAGAATGTCGCCTGTTATCTGCGCCCCATCAGGCCCTACCAGCAGTCCCGAGCTCAGGTCTGATGACAGCGGATGTAAAGAAGAAATCTCTTTCAGTAGACGTTTTTCTTTTATTTATGCTTTCGCTTCTCGTATTTTAGTTTTCGGCGTTTTTTTTCCGCGTTTCTGCCCATATCTCTTATAATGGAGCTAGAATCAGAATTTTGGAAGGCGCTTTTCTAACAAAGCAAGCCTTTATTGTGGGTATCTGCTGACCTGCAAGGTATTGATCCTACTGGACGCTGTCTATGTCTGGTACTATGCTACAAGATGGAAAGGGGCGGGTTCGATTCTTGATGACGTCATTAGATTTCTCAACGGACCTAATCCTTCCAGCCGCACTATAGCCCTGGGGTCGACTCAGCCTCTAACAAAAATGACTACCAGAAATCTTCCTGGAGATAAAGGGCGGCTGGCGCGTAAGGCCCCCCATACACACACAGTTTAGCCTTCCGATCGACTTTACAGGCAAAACTGTGACAGTTTACCCCCTCCCTTTCCTCCCCATACACGCGCAGATAAAGCGGCAGGCTTCATGCCACAATCACGGTCTTCCAGCCTATAATGTTGAGTCACACACGTCACGTGTTACGGTCCTGCAGGCAGAACTGACGGACTGACGGGTTTCCCACAGGCCAACAGTCCAAACGATTGGCCGGCCGGCCGCACCACACACGTCAGTTTTGCCTTTCAGCCTTGAACTGTGCAGGCCGAACTGGAGGCCAAACTGTGTGTGTATGGGGGCCCTAAGGCTGACAACCTCGCCACCATCTGTGAGCCGATTGTCTAGAGAAAATGTGAGAGCCTCGATGTCATACAACACCATGAGCCTCCACGGCCGGTTATAGGGAGAGTTTTATATTTTCTACCTTTTACAGCTCATGGATACAGCACTCCTGTTTAGTCAAGTAATTCTTGAATCCTCGGCTTGATTTTTCGCACAGTAAAATCCTTTCATAACATATGAATTGTGGTAAGAAATATAGCTCCTCTTTTTATCTTCTTCACTTCCTCCTATCCTGTCTCCCTGCAGGTAGGTAACTTTTTTTTTTAATTCGTTTGGTGGGGAGAGGAGTTCAATTGGGTCCACTCGGCACGGCGGCCACTGATTGGCCTATTGTAGCCTGCCCGGGTGATTATGATGATGGAGAATTTGGTGGAATGAAGATTGGCAGGGGAAACCGAAGTACACGGAGAAAACCCGCCCCAGCGCCATTTTGTCCACCACAAATCCCACTCGACCAGACCCGGGATCGAACTCGGGCCGCCGTGGGAAGCCAGCGACTAACCGCTTGAGCTATGGCGCAGCCTGTCGGTAGGTAGTTCATATAAAGATAAAGTTGCTCCTAGGTTTAACTAATGAAACATTACGCCATGAAGACATGGGAGAATGGAGGTATATCTCCACAATTCTTGGAATTCATACGCCCAAATGCGTGTGCCTGTGGTTACGGAACTGAGGTGGCCTCTTGCCGCGCCATCTATCAGCGTTTCCGCGAACTGGTTGCATCTGACACTGACGTGGAGAGAACGTTAGATTACTTGTTTGTGTGTGTGTGTGTATGCATGCGTGCGTGTGTCGAGAGAGATAGAAATTTGTATCTATACCCACCGCCATTCCATGGATATTTACGTTTATTTTTTCTAATTTACTTGTATGTCTTGTTGAGCCAGTCAATTTTATATTATATGTATATATCAATTTTAATTCAAAATTGAATTATGAAACCTATTAAACCTACTAAGGTCCTTCAGTACGTGTATATACATATATGTGAGGAAGTTATGAAATAGTAGCCTGGTAAATGCAATAAAAGTAAAAAAAATGTAAAGTTGTTCCTGTGCTTACTTCAGTAAGCACTACGCCATGAGGACGTATGGGGAAGTGGATGTATAGATCCACGTTTCATTGACTTCGGCATTGTTTGGAAATAATAGCTTGGTTCATATAATATGTTTATGGCGAATAAAAACAAAGACACTATTTACAGTCTGCGAAGAATAATGCACAAGCATTGATTATATAATCTGTCTGACTATCTTCCTGTTGCTCCCACTTGGAGCAAAGGGCATCCGTGTTGTTTCACTTAGTTTCTTAATCCTAGGAAACGTTGGACGGGGAACAGCCAGTCGCAAAGTCAGCACCTACAGAGGACAACACAAATACGAAATGAAAGCATACAAACTTCCATTCCTTGAGTGGGATTTGAACCCACGATGCCAGTGTTAGAGAGAGCGCGGCCGGTTATTTAGTGTGATACAGCATTTTTTTTTATTCCCTTTATTGACAATCAGATTATACAACCTATAAATCAATGAGCTGACTGGTGTACTATATAAAAGCTAATTGTACACTCTTCTGGCGTGTGCGGAATAAACATCCAGTGGTGTTTTCCTCAGTTCCTTAGATCTGATGGCCAAATTCTTTCGATTTTGGTGAGGTTGTAGTAGTGGTTGAAGAAGTGGGGTGGAGTGATTTTCTAGTTTGCTGAAGTACTTGATGCTGTTTTCTCGGATGACTTCCTTTACGTAAGGAGTTTTTAGATCTGTATGTGCGGTGCGGTTGGATACATACCCTGGTGCGTTCGTGATGGATCGGAGTATTTTGGACTGGGCACGCTGTATAATGGCAATGTTGGATTTGCTGGCGCAGCCCCAGAGTTCTATGCCGTATGTCCATATAGGCTTGATGACTGTTTTGTAGATTAGTAACTTGTTTACGCTGGAGAGGTGGGATTCTCTTCCTATGAGCCAGTTAGTTCTTTGGTTTTTTGGTCCATCTGTTTCTTTTCTTGATTATGTGTTCTCTCCAATTTAGTTTGTTGTGAAAGGTTAATCCTAGGTATATGACCTGTTCTTTTGGTTGTATGTTGATGTGATTTGTTTGCACTGAGCGGCAAGTGCCTTTTCGGATGGTGAAAGTTGTTTGTGCGGACTTTGATTCGTTTACCTTGATTTTTCATTTGTTTTACCACGCTTCTATGAGGATTGGATGATCCTGTAGATGAGATGAAGCTGTGGTTAGATGGTCGTGGGTAGCGAAGATAACAGTGTCATCTGCAGAAGTAACTATTATCGTTCTTTTTTTGTGGGTAGATCATGATACAGCATATATGTGAGAGATATTTAAATAAAACATGACGCCCAGATATTCTCACTTCAGTAAATGAAGTCCAGTATCCCAAACTTTTTTTTTCTTTCCAGAAACGTCTCCCATGTCTGCGCGCAACTTCCCACCTTCCTTCTGGAACAGCAACTACCAGGCGAGTCCTGCCGCTGTGACGTCACACCACTCAGCGGCCGCTGAATTGTACGGTGACCCGTACCACCCTCACAGTGCAGCGACTGCAGCTTCCGACCCCTGGCATTCCCACTACCAGCAGTACAGTGCGGCCGCTGCTCACCATCACCACAGGTAGCTCTGACCTCTGGTATTTTGGGGATCCAATACATACCAATCGTACATTCCATTCTATAGAAATTCCCGGTCAAGTATGCCCACCTCAGTTTTGCATATCGGCAGTGGTGTTGGAAAAATGTTCACATTACTTTTAACCCTACGTTGGACATCCACACCATGTGATGATTACGGTAACCAATCATTTATATGAATGGTTTTGACGTCATGAGTCACCTCTCGTTTGACAGGTATTATTTTATGAATATATAACGCGAAACTCATATAATGTAATCTCAGCATCCTGTAGTTATCTTTTTTGTTTAAGGGCGCATTTAAATTGAGGTAAATATTAATAACAAGAAATTCTGGAAAAAACTAACTGCCTACTTTCCTTTTATGTGACACGGACCGCATAGAAAAAAAATAAGGGAGATACACAGACACACATGTGCAGAAATTATGTTATAAGCCGGCCTTTATTTTTAAAACATAAGCAAAATAGGCTAAAAACAGAATAAATTAGGTTGAATCCTACTGAAGGCCATTCTAATGGATTGCTGCTTAGTGGAAACAAATGTGGAACAAAAGTTATTTAAATATTTTCCATTTTAATTGTGTGTATTTCGAGAAGAAATCGAAAAAGACACATTACTTCTATTAAGAATTAATCCCCCAGTAAACACTTAAAATTTTGTTTTAAGAAAAGTCTGCATATTCTGTTAATATAGTCTCAATAAACCTACCAGCATAACTAAATGCTTTCCACCGTTAATTTCAGAAGCGTCTATTGCCTAGAAACCTAATCAGTAAAATGTAAAAGATAAAGGAAAAACGGTAAAATTATCCTTGTAACAGGCCGGGAAGGCCCATAGGGTTGTGAGACGTCGACGCTCCCACATTTTGCAGACAATCGGCTCACAGATGGCGGTAAGCTTGTCAGCCTTAAGCGCCGGCCGCCCTTTATCCCCAGGAAGATTCCTGGTACTCATTTCTGTTAGATGCTGAGTCGACCCCAGGGACATAGTGCGGCTGGAAGCATTAGGCAAATTGAAAACATCCACCTCATCGGGAATCGAACCCATGACCTTCCGGCTTGTACCATAGTGCCTCAACCAACCATGCTACTGCGTGTCCCCTAGAAATCTAAACAGTAAAATGTAAAAAAAAATAAATGTTTGCTTTGTTTGGATTTGATACCTAATATTTGACGTTAAAGAAGAATATAGATTAAGTGCTTTTTCAGAACATCACATGAAGAGCAACGCTGAGGCGTGATTATAGCAATGAAGTCTGGATTTTTAACCCAAAGGAATTCCAGAAATTAAGACTAGCGCAAATGCGGCTTTTGATAGCAGTACAACATACTATTCTTTTCTAGATTAGACCCCCAAGGAAACTCTGACATTACAGAAATTATGAATATAGACGAGATGATAAAAGGATACAAATAAACACGGAAGGAAGATCACTGATAAAATGATATTCCGTTTCCGAGCGAGGGGTCACGAAGGTTTGGGACGGCTCAAAACAGACCCGACAGGGAGTAAGTGGAAGACCATGCCATAGCTCAGGCTTTGAGACTCCTGCTCCAACCGTGGCGGCCCGGGTTCGATCCAATATCTGGTCATGTGTGATTTGTGGTCGACAAAATGGCACTGGGGCAGGTTTTCTCCGAGTAATTCATTTTCCCCTGCCCATTCTCATTCTACCCACTGCTCCACATTCTTCATCTATGATCCGGGGCTGGTACAATAGGCCAGTTAGTGGCCGACGTAGCAAGTGGACTCAGTCTCACCCCATCCCAAGAAACTAATTGAATCTTAGTAAGACGTTAACTTTGTTGTTCAGGCATCGTCCTGTTCTCTTTTCCCGTTGGGGTTTGAGTTAGACACTGCACTACGTCAGGACATGAGTCTTGGCCTTTATGTCTAGCCTTTGCTAGCTTTGAGGGCAGACAGCTTTACGAAAGCAACTTCCCTGCATTGAACGAAAACTCCACTATGGAAATTCTTGTTCTTAGCTTATTCTGGAAATATAATTTAATAAGTTTGTAATATGATGTAATGTTTTGCTACATTATCTGATGCTGACTGAGCCTCAGAGAGTTTAGTCCTCGACATCAGCGCATATTAGTAATTAGCGTCATGTATAGGCAGCCTTGCTCCCCGGAAATAGGCCCCCGGTACCCATCAGATAGGTAGGTAGGTACCTGAGTGGGCAACAGTTCCGGTTCGTGAGAAAAGGCGAAAAGAAAATTCTCCGTCAGGAATCGAAACCTGGTTCTCTGGTCATTTAGCCCGTAACTAGTCACTATACTGACTGAGTAAAAAAGTAAAGTAAAGCTATCCCTGTGCATTTACTGTCTTCGCTCGCTTGGAAACCGGGATCGTGGGTTCGAATCCCACTCAGGGCATGGATGTTTAGTTGTACAGGTACAGGTAGAGGCCTTGCGACGAGCTGATCACTCGCCCAAGGAGTCCTACCGTATGTGTAAGATCTAGAAAAACCGAAGTGAACGGAAAAGTTCATGGAGGTAGGCCTAGGTCCACTGGGGCTGTAGTGCCAAGGAAAAAAAGAATCTATCCCTGTAACAGGCCGTGAAGGCCCATAGGCTGTGATACGTCGAGGCTCCCACATTTTCTATACAATCGGCTCATAGATGGCGGTAAGGTTGTTAGTCTTACGCGCCGACCGCGCTTTACTCCCCAGGAAAATTATTTAATTAATTCCTGGTACTAATTTCTGTTAGAGGCTGAGTCGAACCCAGGGCCATTGTGGGGGCTGGAAGGATTAGGTCAACTAAAAAAATCCAATGACCTCGTCGAGACTTGAACCCGCGACATTCCAGCTTGTAGCATAGTGCCTCAACCAACTACGCTACCGCGTGCCCCCTTACTAACTGAGTTATCTGATTAATGTTTTTATTTACCGTTATTAAATAACAGTGGAATTTATTATTATTTATTCTTTATGCAAAGCAATCATTTCTTGACTAGAATTTTAAAAAGGACACGAAGTAATTTTGGTGGAATTAAAGAGCAAAGAGTTTATCAGGCAGGTGATAATGTCTTTTGAGAATTGCGCAGTACTCTGTTATAAATGTTGATGCAATTCGGTTTATATCAGGTTTAACAATTTTTACCATTTAATCTGAAATATTTTCCAAGCTCGCCTAATATGCAAATTAAAACCTTCCATATTTGTAACAGTCTTGATCTGGAAGTTTTAATACGTATTTTCCCTTGTACCATGGCATTGTTAGTGCACACTCTCGCTTATCGTGCTATGTTAGTTTGTCTGTTGGTTACTTTGTGTCGGTATCTCTGCCATGGCAGTGTATCACTCACCGCTCACCGAAGCTGGTCAGATTTGTACACTTTAAATAAGGTAAACCAAAGGCTCAAGCGAATTTCTGACATGTGATAACTTTACAAAAAATTACACATAATATTCGTATTTTTCTCTTCGTGCTAATAAAATCTCCTTGATGAGCTAAAATTATATAAATGCAGCTTGTTTTGCCGCAGCTGCGCACTAGTTTATCAACATGGGATCCGTGAAAATTAACATACGAAACCAAGGCGAAACGTAATTCATTATAATAGCCAGAGTTGTGAAATAAATTTATAGAAGGTTATTGGGACATGTAGCACGCATGAGAGAGACAAGAAAATCGTAAATACTGTCAGTTAGAGGAACTAAAAGAAGAAACCCCTGGGAGACCTAGGAGTAGACGGAAAAATTACGAATATATTAAATGCATCTTTAAGGAAAGTGGGTGAAAGTATATTAAGAATGAAGATACAGATTAGAAACAAATGGAATAGATGAACGTAGACATAATTTGACAAACTCTGGATAGAAAACACAGCCCGGACCTCTAAGGACGGCGATATCTTCTCCAATCTCCCGTTGATAGAAGAGGCATGAAGACACAAACCTTAGCGGTTTAAGATTATAAATATTAAGAATTTTAACAATTATATCACAATAAAAATTTGTCTTAATTAAAATCTTTATATAAAACTTTGATTCAATTTGATGTACTATGATTTATTTAATAGTAGTTTCCTCAACATATTGTGCCTCCTGAGGATGGTCGTTTACTGACCGAAACATGTATAGGCATCATATAAATATACATCTGAGCTACACTGGACGGTGTCAAATCATTCTATAATAGTTATATATTCATTCAAAATTCGGACTTTCAAAATGCTAAACTTGACCGAGCGCTCTCTCTCTGTTTAACTTCGCCTGTTGAATTAGAGAGAATCATGCATAGCAAGATGCTTTGAGATTCAGTTCTCAGTTAAAGTACATATTAATTATTGAATTTCCGGAAGCCACTGGTATAGACTTCCAATACAAGGGAAGTGCTAGGTTATGAGTTTGGTATTTTCCAAAAATTGTTTTCCCTTTATTTACCTTACAAGGCGCGGAGGTTACTGTATGTATAACAAACTTAGCATTCAAATACTCTGAATTTTACATATAGAATATGTCTATCTGTTTCATACGATTATCTGAAGCAGCGACTATTTCCCTAACAGCATTAAAGAGTTGATCTCTATAAGGGTGACGAAACAAAACAAAATCTGTGGCCTGTAGTCCGCAAGCGAACTATACCGACCCAGCGACCGTCGCTTGCCGGCGAAGTTGGTGCCAACGTTTGCGGATAGAGGGTGTCGCGTGGTCAGCGCAGCGGATTCCCACGGCTGTTAATCTCGGTTTTCTGGACCGGAGCCGCTATTCCCTTGAAACGGCTCCTCAGTTATCCTCACGAGGCTGAGTGGACCCCGTTTCAGACCCACTATTTCTCAGAAATTCTGGTAATCCCAGGAATCGAACCCGGGATATCTGGATCTGTAGCCAGGAACTCTGATTACTAAACCACAGAGGCGGACGTATAAGGGTGACGCAGGAAAGTATTAACTGTATTTTTAAATGTTATTTAGATGAATTTCAAGGTACAAAAATTTATATGCGTTGACGTATGTATATCTGCGAAGTGTTTGGTAGATTTAATATATTTAATAAATTGAGAATCAACAGTTTATGCATTATTAGGTTGCTAAAGCTATACCTGTACCAGGCTGTGGAGGTCCATAGGGTTGTGAGACGTCGAGGCTCCCATATTTTGTAGATCATCGGCTTACAGATGGCGATGAAGTTATCAGCCTTACGCACCGGCCGCTCTTTACCCCCAGGATGATTTCTGGTACTCATTTATGTTAGAAGTTGAATCGACCTTAGGGCCATAATGCGACTGGAAGGATTAGATTATTGAAAAATCCAATGACCTCATCGGGGATCGAACCTCGACTTTCCGGCTTGCAGTATAGTGCCTCGATTTTTATGCCAATAGCAGGTGGTGTTGCCAAGCGATCACCCATCTAAGTATTAACCACATCCAATGATGCAACCCTTGGTTTCATAGCAGATGGATCTGTAACTTGGGTGAAAGAGAACCAAACATGGCGAACATTTGTTCGAAACTTGGTTTATTTGACGTTGCTTCGACAACTGCCCAGTTTATGGAGTGCCGAATGGAAAGATAATTTGAAAATTATCTGCTAATTTTAGATTTAGTTTATGACGCCGTCAATATCTAGACCGTACATAGTGCCTAACAACATTATTTCATAAATTAGGTTGTTTATTTTTGAGGTTATTCAGACTGGAAAATATTATATCAACATAAATAAATTTTCTCCTGTGCTTAATTAATTAAGCACAACACCATGAAGACGAATGGCTGAGTAGAAGTATAGCTGCGCCATTTATGCCCTCGTTCCTGTGTAAGCAATCAGCTTCACGCTTCGGCCGATTTACTCCCCGGGGAAAGAGTCCCGGTATATGAGACTGGGTGGCTCCCGGAGCCTCTTCCTGTCGTGAATCGAAACCTCACTATACCAACTTAGCCATCCCAAATCCTATCATTGAATAGTTTCACGTGATTTTACATACCCCGAACTTTCACAGTGCCCGCCTTCAGCTTCGAGACACATTTTTACTCGTCCGGCAACAGAACGTGTGAAGGGGCGAAATGTGTCTCGGTCATTTATGCATGTGGCTGCAGCGACAGTTTGACGAGTTGTGTCCTCACTTGTGTCCATCTTGCATTCATAAACAAGATCTTTCACATACCCCGACGTATGAATTGAAAGGGGTTTGAGGTACGGTGATCGCGGTGGCCAATTCTGCAGGCCTCACACGGCTGACCCAGCGACAAGCGAAATTCTGATTCACGTAGTGCGTCGCGTTTCAATTGATATTTGCGGCCGCTTCGTCATGCTGAAGTACATTTGCATCCTTGTTATCAGAGGCACGTATTTCAACTGGACAGGCAGCTCGTTTTTGAAAACTCCTCCCGTATATTGCATCTACCATTTCCCCTGCCAATTTATATGTAACCATCGAGGACTTTAACCTATGACTATAATTTGTTCAGTCAGAATAACCTCAGTAAAATTATCTTAAAGTTACGATATAAAGACTTGAAGCACCTTGCATAGTGCCGAATGGTAGAATGATGAACTGCCAAGGGTTTCGAAAGAGACCGTCCTGACTTCATCGAGGTAATAACGAAATGTACAAAAATTTCGGAGGATTCTGCTGCTCCAATCTTCAGAAGAGACCCTGAAAATAGAGACTGCATATTCCTCCGAAACATTGATACCATTCTACTAGACTATACATTAATATTGAGCGCCGGGAAAACCGAAAGTCTCACACGGAATATTTTTTAGATTCAGATGAAAATAATATAGAGTAGACTCTGATAAAGCACATTATTACTCCAGCGTCTTATAAATGTATAAAGCGTCTTTTTGAAAGAACAGAAATTGCAGATTAATTCTCTTTCCAGAGCTGTCCATGAGTATCACCACCATCACAATATGGCGGCGCAATATGGCGGTCTCCTGTTGCCACCCACTACGAGACTGCCACCACACGTGACCGCGTCTCATCAGTATAGTAAGGGCGCCGTACCCGAGCCCTGGGGAGCTGCGAGCCACAGCGCCGCCGCCGCCGCGGCACGACTCCACCACGACCAAGCCTCTGCGCATCACTCACACGCACACACCCTCGATTCGGCGGGATATTCGGCCTACCCCACTATGGCCGGTAAGTGTCTGTTCGGTAACACCGCTACTTGGTAACTGTACACTACATCGCAGCGTTGTATCATGGGAGAAACAGCGAAGACGGCTACACAGAAAACCATTGTTGGACCACTTGATGTTTGTGCAAGAAATTTTGGAAACAGGCGCATATGCAAACTGGAAAACCGAATCTTAGTAAGATGTTAAGGCAGTGCCATATCTCAGGCGGTTAGTCGCCGGCTTCCCACCGCGGCTGTCCGGGTTCGAGCCCAGATCAGGTCATGTGGGATTTGTGGTGAACAAAGTTGTACTGGGGCAGGTTTCCTCCGAGTACTGCAGTTTCCCCTGCCAATTCTCATTCCACCGACTACTCCACACTCATCATCTATTATCCGGGGCTGGTATGATAGGCCAAACAGTGGGTGACCTACCAAGTGGACTCAGCCTCACCCCACCCCAAGGAACTAATCTAATCTTAGTAAGAGGTTAATCTTGTTCAGGAATTAAATGGCACCTTCTGTTTTCCCACATCTGGCATTACGTAGAGTACGATGTATGTTAATGCAAGGTACAGCATCAGGACAAGAACATACGCTACTATATCCAACTGAACTGCCCTACTCTGATATTTACTGTTAAATTCATAAGCAAAATGATCGCTGTTTGCATTATGCAAGGCTGCTATAAATATTCTAGTGATAAGAAACTAGTATATTTAAACACAAACATGAAAAAGCCAGAAAACATCATAGAAACTGATGGCAACATTGACTGTAAAGGAGCATCCACATTACTCGTGCTCGTGTGACTCGCTATGCTCGCTAGTAATGTGGACGATATGACAAGTCACGAGACAAGCATATTTTATATTTTTAATTTAAAAACTATAGCCAATAAATTAAAATACGACTACAGCCTAAATATACGGATCCTCACGCGCCGAAGTTGGGCGAGCAACTGAAGTAATGTGGACGAAGATTTACGAGGACAAGTAAAAGCCAGACGAGTCTCCCGGCGAGCAGGAGTACGAGCACGAGTAATATGGACGCGCCTTACTATATTAGCCGCGAATGAAGCTGTGGTCGTTATCAAAGGAAAACGGCGTCTCAACTGAAAAGGATGCAGTTTCGTTTGTCGGAGGTTTGGATAAGACGAAAAGGCCCCATTCTTTGGTCCCCTAGATCTCCGCACCTCACTCCATGCAACGTATACTTATGGGGATATATGAAAGAACAGGTGTACCAACTTTCGACTCCACAGTCCCTTCGAGAGTTTGGAAAGGGAATTTGACACGTCGTAGCGTCCAAAAGTCAGAGTTGCGGATTGCATGGGAAGAATTCAAATACCGCGTTGATGTTTGCAGAGCACATATCGGACATCTCCAGATAAACTTTATGAGTTGCTAACTGTTTTGAATTGTTTTTGCCCGTAAATAACTTGAAAATACACGGATTGTATGACTCAAATAATTTATAATAGCCCTGTATTATAAGTTATATGTAAAGTAAAGGTATCCCTGTAACAGGCCGTGGAGGTCCATAGGGTTGTGAGACGTTGAGGGTCCCATATTTTCTAGAAAATCGGCGCATAGATGGCGGCAAAGTTGTCAGTCTTACGCGCCAGCCGCCCTTTACCCCCAAGAATATTTCAAGAATATTCCTAGTACTCATTTCTGTTAGAGGCTGAGTCGACGACAGGACCATAGTGCGGCTGGAAGGATTAGACCAATTGAAAAATATCCAGTGACCTCCTGGGCACTTGAACCCGCCACAACCACTACGCTACCGCGTGCCCCCATAGGTTACTGATCAATATATAAATCATACCGAAGATAAAAATTTGGATTTGTGTTACAGACCACAGACAAATATTTCTCTGATAATGGGATAAGTGGTAATAAGTGTTTAAGTGGTAATATAAAAATATAAATTCCATGGATGCTCCTTAGGTCAGTAAGACAATTAGTAATATAATCATAAAAAACGAGCGATGTCATAATGCCAGAAGAGTTGGCTTATTTTAAAAAAATGCGGTTGTTAGACGATGCTTTTGCTAGTGTTTCACAGGGCAGTAATTTTTTGGGGTCTAGAGGAATTATAAGCTTTATTTTCCCAGCGCTTTCACTGTTAGCTTTTGAGATTCTGTGGTGACTGTCGACACAATTAACTGATAAAATTAGCGTTAATAAAATGTTAATGTATTTTATTATGTACTACCCAATGGAGGCACGGGGTAGCGTATTTGGTTGAGGCAATGTGCTACAAGCCGGAAGGTCGCGAATTCGATTCCTGATGAGGTCATTGCATTTTCCTATTGACCTAATCCTTCCAGTGGCACTATGGCCCTGGTGTCGACTCAGCATCTAACAGAAATGAGTACCAGGAATCTTTCTGTGGGTAAAGCGCGGCCGGCGCGTAAGGCTGACAACCTTACCGCCATCTGTGAGCCGATTGTCTAGAAAATGCAGGAGCCTCAACATCTCACAACCCTATGGGCCTCCACGGACTGTTACAGGGATAGCTTTACCGTTTTACTGCCCAGCACATCTTTCGATCATTACAGGTTCAAATTCTTGAATATATGAATTTATCATATTGTACTGCAGATGTCTTCACACGACATATATTGAGGAATCACCCAGCACTACAAACGTACACATTTGGGCGCATAAGCGAGGGTATACTTTGAAATTGTATTCATTAATGGAATTGCAGAGGTTTTCAAACAGCAATTTTCGAAGCACCTGATGATGACCATATCTATCGAAACGTGTGATACACCAATAATGTGAAAAACAAATAAAAAAAAAGTGGATTTTAAGATTTTAACGCATGTTTTCACGCCAGGTGGTGAATAAAAAGGGAAAATGGGTTTATCAACCTGTGTCTTTAGCGAGTTATATTGTACACTCGCGAAATCAGTCGCCACAATTTGCATTCAGAATGAAATGGAAGACTCAAGTAACCAGACAACTTAGCTCTGTATATGTTCTTCGCTTTTTAAAAGTCTACTAAAAATTGTAACTCTCCGAGAATTAGCAGTGGCCAGTCAAGAAATCTTAACCAAATTTAGCGTCCACTTAGGTACTGTACAGAGGAGGGAATAAATAATTTTACTCAATAGAAAGGCTTGTTATTGGCAGATGTGTTCTAATCTTTACAAAAGAAATGCATCCCTTATAAGTTATGTAAGTGGGGATAATAGGGATTTGTTACGAAATGTCACGTACTTCATGTGTGTAGTTGTAATTTAAGTTGGTAGCCTTGATGTTGCGCCTTCAGCTCATGCGCAGCAGCTGCACGACTGTCTCTGAGGACACTGGCCTTCACTGTAAAAGCGGCATAATTCGATAGCTTGCTACATGTCTGAGCTCAAGAAATCAATTATGTTTCTAGGATATGACACCGCGTATTGTGATAGATATTTATCAAGGTTTCGGACAAACCTGCTGTCTCTGTCTTTATTCTTTAAGTATGATCCACCCTGAAGACAAAGACAGCAAGTTCCTCCGAAACGCTAATAATCTCTTAATACAGATGAACTCTTGAATCAGTAAAATTAATTCCGTGGAGTCGAGTTCTTCTTGAGAAGCTACCAGTCGCTCAGGTACCCAAAAAATATTCCAGTATCTTATGAAAACCGAAGGTTCTTAGCCGTCTTAACAAAAGCCCGCCACTAGTCTTTATTCTCAGTCAGTCGAATCCAATCCGTACTACCCAATTCTGTTTCTCCAAGATCCATTTTAATATCATCCTACCCACGTCTAAATCTTCCCAGTGGCCTGTTTCCTTCTGATTTTCCTATCAAACCCATGTATGATTCACTCGCTCACTCACGGAGCTGAGTCCTTCTTGAGAAGCCGACAATTCTGGAGCTACTTAAGAGTTATCCAGCATTTTATGGAACCCGAAGGTTCATTACCGTGTTCACAAGAGCCATCCATTGGTCCCTATCCTGAGTCAGATCAATCAAATCCATACCATCCCATTTTATCTCTCTAAGATCCATTTTAATATTGTCCACCCACCTACGCCTTGGTCTTTACAGTGGTCCCCTTCCATCTGGATTCCCCACCAATATCCTATATGCATTCCTCTTCTCCCCCTTTCGTGCTACGTGCCCTGTCCACCTCATCCTCCTTGAATTGATCATTCTAATTATACAGTGGTACCTGGAGAAGAGTTTAAGGTATGAAGCTCGGCATCAGTGTGCAGTTGTGTCCGTCCCTCTTCAGTCCAAATATTCTACCCAGCAACCTGTTCTCAGACACCCTCAATCTATGTTGCTTCCTTAATAACAGACAATATTTCACACCCATACAAAAGTACGGGCAAAGTATAGTTTTGTATATTATTGTAACGTATTTGCGCTATGCATGACACTCCTCCCCCGCCAGCGGTGACGTAACAATCGGAGCGATGCCGCTGCTACGGTAACAGGCCAGTCTACACTCCGCCCCCTCCCGCGGTGACGTAACAGTACTTCCCACTGTGACGTAACACGGGACACCGCTGTAACACGAGGCAACAGTGAACGGTATAAAAAGCCGGATGACACAATATGTGGGCGGAGAGAATGTGTGAATAGGAGTGACACAGTGCGGATCGTGAAGTCGCCGAGTGCAGTTGAAGTCTAGCATTTGCCGGAGTGAATGGAAGAAGCAGATGTAATTGTGATACTGCATATGGCAGTAGTGGCGTAATTGTGAGAGCGAGTGTGCAATAAGTTCACTATATTCAATACGGCGTGAAGTTACTTGTCGCGGTACACACCCAACACGTGACATAATCTTTACGTTTTTAGAGAGCAGACGAGAAGACAAAAGGTTCTGGACTGAATGGTAGTTAGCGCTTCGTGAATTCAGTCTCTTCTTAATTTCCTCATGAACCAGATTTTCGTCTGATACCGCCTTTCCCAAAAATTTAACTTTGCCACATTTCCAAAGGATCCGTTAACTATTTTATATTATGATTTCGGTCTGCATTCTGGTAACGAGACATCAACATCTGACTAAGCGTAACC